CAACGTTTCGACAAGATTTTGTCATCATCAGGTACAATGACAAAATCTTGTCGAAACGTTGTACATTTGCTGTTATGTTAAACTTATATTAAAGTTTTTCTTCATTACCCATTCAAGCCGTCTCCAACCATTATAGGCTAATATAGCTTTAAGAATGTTCATATCGAGACATTATGCAGGTTGTGTACCATCGATATCTTTTCCGTCAAGATATCATTTCACTATGTTTGCTGTAGCTTGGGATGTTTATTTTGACGACACATGAATCCCAGTCTTATAAGTATTGTTTATAAGAGCTAGTATGATTGATCAAAATCTGAATGTATCTATCAGTAGTCAGGATTCCATAAATTTTCTTTAGATCACCGACGCCTTTTGTTGAGATGTAACTCAAAATTTGTACTGATCCCCCATCATGTTTCACTGTAGATATTTTAAGTTGTACTGTGATACCATTCCCCCACTCTGCTGTCGAAAAAAAACTCTGGTTGATTAATACGGAACAGTTTGAACTTAGATTCAACTGTAATAACAAATGTCTTGAGCTTTGTTCATTCCAATACAACCTTTTGGTTTAGTATCTATTATTAGCAATGTTTACGAGCTGTCCATTGAGAACTTTGTGTGTACGTGTATCTTACTGTTTTTGAGGCAACATTCAGTCCTGTATTTACACTAAGCGTATTGGTAAAATCTGCAATCGAACATTGTATATTTTATTAGAAACAGGTCCTAAGATACATAATAACATATATGGATGGTTTTGTTTACTTCAACCACTTTTATTATTAACAGTGCCAGTTTCACGTACCCTATTCAAAGTTTTGCGTACAGCTGTTAGTGCAACCTGGAGTCTTGCTGTGATTTTTGCATGGAGTACACTTTACCAGCCAAATTTTGATTTCTACACACTTCTCATGTGGTTTTTAAGTTCCAAGAGCCATTACTGGAATCACACTTCTAGTACTAGGTAGAGTATGGGGGCGTGTACTTTTATAGACTTTATACTGAGGAGTCACTTTCTGTTTCGCTCGATTACAACTAATCACGGTGTAAACTGTCAGCATGTTATGTTACTCTGATGTTGTTAATTTTCACACGATAAAAGAGTGCCTTTGGCCTAGTATTTGCTTTATATATCACTTTCTCCTCTGATTATTGTACTGGGAAAACAAGATAATTAAACTTATTTTCATGGTTCTTGTGCCAGTTTTGGAGTGTTTCCCTATTCTCTTGAAAGAGTACTTTATGTTGTGGTCATGGCCGGCACAGTGTTTATGTCCACTATGGATATTATTCGCCTTTTTAAAGAATAAGAAAAAAATACCAAACATTGCTACGTTAACGTCTCTACATTATTATGTTGCTTACAGAAGCTTGTACTGTCGGGACAACAAAATCAGGTTCAAGTGTCACGTTTTTTCCTCTATATGTTTACTCCAGCATCGGTACAGAAATGATTGAAATATGACTTATCAAACTATATCACACGTTTCCAGTCATTTATTGTCTACAGTTTTCGTTCGAAGAACCTCTGACGTGCTTTCTGCTTAGATCTGAGATAAACAGTTTTTCTAATAGGTGTTAGCTGCCATGTTGCTGTTAATGTAATCTTCTTTGATGGAGATAGTCAAAAACTCATCATTATTGAAGGAATCATTCAACTAAGACACGGTATATCATTGGTTGCTCTTTACACGTTTATGCATTATGTTTACCTCTCGGTAAATCATCAACTGATAGTGGTCACAGATTTTTTTTTTCTAATGACAGATTTATTCCTAGTCTATCACACTAATAACATATTTTATTGAACAGTCAGTTAAAGAAACGGTCTTTGAAAACGATCATGTCTTTATTAGACATGTGCCCGTTACACTTACCATAAATTTATCAAAATTTTGATATAGTTCTAGAAATTTTAGTTACTTACTAAAAATTAAATTTAAAGAATAATGCGACAGGAATATTACAAACTACTCTTTTTACTATAAAATGCACATCCATATCTTGTATAATTTGAATAATTAATAACGAACTAAAAATAGCATTTTTATCTTATGTAGTAGGTTCTTATCTACAGTATTTATTTATCGGTTGTATAGATACAATTTTATACTTTGAAATTACATCAGGTTTAATTTTTTTTTAATAATAGCGTGTAACTGCTGAAACAGAAAATTTTATAGGAAATTTAGTCAAATATCATTTACGCAGGTTTTCTCTGTGGTATATTTAAGTATCATTCTTGAGTTCTTAACTCATTTACACAAATACCTATGCTTTTATAAAGATAAGAATGCTAAATTTCCCACTAAAT